TCAGTAAACCATATAACACATATTTTACAAATTGCTAAATCATCATATTTACCACAATTTCTTAAATTAGCTGAACAATTACAAACAAATACAAAAAAAGCTGATAATAATTTAACATTTTTAATGGCATTAAAAGATCCATGTCATGAATTAGCTGATGCTAAACCACATGAAATGCCTAGACTTTTACCAAAAATTGTTTCTTTAATTCGTGTTATTTGGGTTAACTCAGAATTCTATAATAAACCAGATATATTAACTGGACTTTTTCGAAAAGTAATACTTATGAGAATTTAATCCTTTATATAAACAAAAAAAATATTTGGTTTTTTCTACATTTTAGCTTAGTAATGAAGTTATTCGTCGATGTACAGCAGCCATTGATCTTGATAAAATTTTCGATGGTTATATTGTATCAAGTCAAAAAACATTAAATGAATGTATTGAATGTTGTCAACAATGGCAAGAAATTTATAATAATGTATAGAATTATGATAATATAGTTTTTTATGTATATTTATTTAAATAATTATTTTTTAGGCACAACATCTTCATGAAAAAAATTCAGTCAAAGGTTGGCGTCTAGATAAAACAACAATATTTGCTCAAATTGAAGCCTTTATTCAACGATGTCGAGATTTACTTGATTTATGTGAATGTCAGATGCATTTTGCACGTTGGGAAGAAAATGTTCGAACACAATTACCAATTTTTGGTGGACAACGTGGACCAGCTATTAATCGAAAATTAACTGAAATTGAAGTGGCATTTGATAAAAATTTACAAGAATTACGAAAATCACAAGAAATTATTTTAGATGTTAAAGCAACAACATGGCATGAAGAATATAATCGTTTTCGATCAGCTATTAAAGATTTAGAAGTTATGATGACAAATGCTATCACATATGCATTTGATGCTGTTAGAACAGTTGAACAAGGTGTTGAAGTTCTTGATGTTTACACACATTTAAGTTCAAGAGAAGTATGTTTTCTTTTGACTATTTTCTGATATACTGGATAGTATTGATTTAAAACTTAGTATCTTTACATTAGATACTAGGGGTAGGACAGTTCATAGTTCCAAGTTCGGATGAACTGGTCAAAAGAGCTGAACTGTCTGAAAACTAGTTTTTCGGAAATAAAAACAGATTTGAAACCGGCCAGTTCATCTGAAAGAACTGTTGATACAGTTCAGTTCTATTCAAAGAACTGTTGGTTCAGTTCAGTTCTTTTCAAAAGAACTATTAAACAGTTCCCAAGAACGGAACTAATATGGAACTGTCCTACCCCTATTAGATACTATACTGATTCTGTTTCATTTGAAATATCCCTTTTTGTTTGCCTCGATAGAACCTACTGTTCGATTTATCTTTTGCAATTACAACAAATTCTAATTAGAAACTAATATAACTGTAAGCGAACATATAGATTATCTGTTCGCTATTCCTTCACACATAGGATCGTATGGGATTTTTCCTTTCGTTATCTTGATTCGATGTTCCTTTGACTTGTATTGAAATGTGTTATTTCCAAATAATGAACTAACGGATATCACTTGAGTATTTCTCCTAGAATATGTTGTATTACAAGAAATGGGAATAGTCAAAGTAATCATTTCTTGTCCTGTCAATACTTGCGTTTTCTTCTTTGAATAAACGAACTATTACTAAGCTTCCAAAAGGATCCTCTTCTTCTACAAGTTACAATAACAATCCTTTCTTTTATTTTATAGGCAATACGTCGTACAGTTGATAAAAAAACTGTTGAATTATATAATATTTTTAAATATGTTCTTCAAACAATTCAATCGATTATATCAACATCAGCAATTCCTCAATGTCTCGAACGTTTTCATCCACAATATGCTGGTAGTGCATTTTGGGCACGTAATTTAAAACGTCGAATTGAACGTATGATGTCATTTCTTAATATGGCACATTTTCTACCAAGTGTTGGTGTTTCAACTGATATTCGTCAACAATATGAATATGTTAAACAAGCATTAGATGATTTTATTCAACGACAATTTAAAGAATGGTCATATCATATTGAAAATGAACCAACAAAAAAACTTGAATGTCCATTAATAAAACGTGTTAATGATCAAGGTTATTTACAAGCAAATTTTGATTCATCATTAATAAAATTACTTCAAGAAATTAAATTTTGGGAACGTTTAGGTTTTGAAATTCCATCATATGCAAGTGAAATATTAACACGTAAAAATGATTTACGTACAGCACGTGAAAATGTTATGTTAATTGTACGTGATTATAATCGTATATTAGATAAATTAGATACACATGAACGTGTTCTATTTAAAGAACGTATTAAACAATTAGATAAACGATTAGCACCAGGTTTAAATAAAATAACATGGCTTAAACCAA